ACCAACAAAACTGTCTATATTTCTGAGATGAGGTATTATGCAAACTATTTACATTATTCTTTATGGTTGGAATGACGAACCCTTTATTTCTCTCACTGGGGTAGACTGTTCTAGTTCCACGTGCCATGTTTAATGGATGTCAGTTATCAGTTATCTTCTGCTAATTTTTCCTCTGAAAGTTCTCCACTGCCTTAACCGGGTATTGAACTCACACTCTTTGGGTCCTGTGGAACCAGTAATAAAGAGTTCCAGAGAAAAGCGATAATGACAACAAAAATTGCAATATGAGCTCTGGTAAAAACATGCAATGATAACAGCAAAAATTTCAATATGAGCACTGGTAAAAAAAGACAACTTACAAGGAATAGAAGAGGGTCAAATGCTGTATCGCATTCTTCTGTGTGTTTTGTACGCATCCGTAAGTTGCTGAATTAAGCATTTATTCTTCTCTGTTTATCACTCACCTCGACGATACAACAGTTTTATTTTGAAGATATATTTTGGAATATAGTTTGATTTAAGTAATTGTAGGATTATATTAATCTCATGAAAGAGTATATTGAATGTTGGTTATTTCATTGATTTTGTATATCAACCATTATGAGTTATTTAACGCCGAAATCTAAATATTTTGAACACATTTGCATGCCTTCATCTGAAGAGAAACTTTACTCTTTGTAATTTTACTAGCAGTAGATGGTAGTGTATAACCGTGTTTATAATAGACGTCGAGTTTTTTTTTTTATCGAGCTCAAGAAAAGTCCATTTTTATTAAGTTTTTTTCTCGAATGTGCATTTCTTTTATTAAGCACATTCTCTTTTTATTATATATATATATATATATATATATATATATATATATATATATATATAAGTGAACATAAGTCAACACTTAGTGTCGACAGTCTGTTTCATGCTAGATGCAAACAGATTGCATCGCATGAAATATAAGTGTTGCATCTATGTTCACTTTATATTTATATACGCTCTATCTCTGATATGGAGCACTTTATCCCATAAATATAGCACATCTTAAGACTATATTTCTTCATATATATATATATAATACGGCAGAAATTTATAGAAACAAGGATCATTTTCATTCATAACGGATTCGGAGGTTTTTTTGTATATTATTTCAATTGTTTGCGACGATGGATTCCTCGCCAATTAAATCATTAACCTTTGCATTTGTTTTTGTGTGAATAATTCATGAATTTGTAAATTGCACGTTTATCGTAATTAAAATAACTGATCCAAGTGCGACTTTTGGATAATAAGTGCGACATTACTGTAATTATTGAACAATATAGTCCATGCCACTTTGACAGAAAATTTACCAGTAAAAAATTCGTTCATCACCATATTTGTACATGAACGCACAATTTTAAAAAATTTAAAATCAAACTCAGCGTTGCTACTGCGCGCTCCAAAAACAATAACTCATTTCCAATAGCATTTTCGGATACAACAATACATATATTTTCGTTGTCCTCTTATTACTAAGAGAAAAAACAAGAACAACATCTATTCCATACCTGAAGATGTCTGTAGGAACAGACGAAAGCTTGTAGTAAAATAAGAACTAATACGGCAGAAATTTATAGAAACAAGTGTCATTTCATTCATAACGGATACGGAGGTTTTTGTATATTATTTCAATTGTTTGCGACGATGGATTTCTCGCCAATTAAATCATTAACCTTTGCATTTGTTTTTGTGTGAATAATTCATGAATATATATATATATATATATTCCAAAAGCAATATATAGTTCATTGAAGTAAACATTTTTTTCTAAATATATACGTATTTGTTGTAGAGTAGCTAGCAACCCTTCACTCCATCAGATGGCCTGGCTCAAAGCCTTAAATAGTCTACAACTAAGGACTTCATCAGTTGATTAATAAGTTCATACTAAGCTGATTAATATTTGGACTGATCTTACTTCGTTTGGTTATACAGCATTTGACCCTCATCTATTCCTTGTAAGTTGTCTTGTTAATTGTTTTGTAACTTATTCTTCTGTGTTTTTTGTATGTATCCGTTAGTACCGGATACTGGTGCTGAATAAATATATTAAGAACTCATTCTTTTCTGTGTGTCATTCACCTCGACGATACAACACATTAATTCTAATTGTATTACTTTTTGGGGGATGTTTTAAATATAAAAGTATTCTTGTAAATAAACAATCTAATAAATAAGTAGTGTTTATTATTTTTGTTGTCAATTCTCAAGAACAAAGAAAATGTATAAATTCACTTACCTTATATGCCGAAGAGTGAAAGAAAAAAGCGCTTTCATGAAGAAAACCGTTCTTTTGTCATAACGTCTTATCGCAGATATGTTTATTTGTTTGCCAATGTTTTTTTATGGTAATTGTTTAGATGAGCTTTTCGCTTTGCTACCTCACTTTACGAATTCAAGTACAGTACTAGATTTGGTCTCATTATTTTATAGTTGAATTGGTTAGATGGAACCGTAAGTTCTATGCTAACAGTTTCTTCTTTCGCACTTCTTGCTTGTGGAACCTGATGCCGGTTTCTTGCTTTCCATTCAACATTGATCTTTGAAAGTTTAAATCCAGTGTTAATCGTTATCTTTTATCTTCTTAATTCTTGTTCTTTTATTATTCTCTTTTCTTAATTTTTTTATCTCATATTCTTTAACATTTAGTAACCATTTGCGCCGCAGTGGCTTTATTGCCTTACTTGAGATGAAATGATTTTTAAAAAAAGTTAAACTGGCCGCTTTTCCCTGCAATCTATGGACAAAGAGAACGAAAGTTACGTTCTTTATTTTTTACGCTCAAGTATGGAACAAGGCGAGCAATAGCTGAGCATTACAAAAAAAAAAGAGAACAACAAGACGAGGTACTCCTTTACATGGGCAGCGAAATGTGATCAATCTGCACGTATAGGTTAAATAAACGGTCCATTTTGAGATTCCCTTAAGCTTAGACAGATCGACTAACACCTGATGAAGGCTGCAGGACGCAGCGATTGAAACGTTGTGATAATTAAATTAACAACGTTCGATAACGAATTGACTTCTCGGGGTCTTTAAGGATGTCGAGCTGATTTCGGGATTCTCGCTGGCGCGTGTATTCGTTTGCGAAACGGCCAGGCCGAACACGGCCGGTGGCTAAGAGCGGCGTCAGCGGCGGGAATCGTGCGGGAGCCGGTGCAGAAAACAAAGAACTGCTTTTACAAAAGGGCAAAGAAACATGTCGTTGGGGGCTTTCTTTTTCGCGAATCATTCCAGTAGGATGCAAGCTGTGGGGGGGTAGAGAGCTTACCAGATGCATTGAACAAGTTACTTCTTACGAACGTTAAATCACCAGGCGAACATCTTTTACGGCGAACTGGCACTCGAATTGAAAGCTGGGAAATTCAAGGTGCGCTTCAAAACAGATCTTTGAAAAGACCCGGTGAACCGTGCTTCAAGATACACGCCTAGCTGCACAGAATGCATTGTATATGCAGAAAATTGTTTTTGCATTATTTGCTGCAAGCACTGGCTTTATCTCCCGCACCAGTGATGCACATTTACGTAAGTAACAGAGCAGTTTACGATGCAGGAATGTTTTAGCAAATAGCTTTCACTAAAACTAGACTTCAGTCAAACCCTCGCTCAAATATATATATATATATATATATATATATATATATAATCACTTGTTTATCGTTGCTAGACCCAGCTAATGCTCTGCGATGGAGCGGCTAAGGGTCAAAAAGCAGTCGTGGCTCTTGGGGCACTGTTCCGAGGTTATCTGAAGACTCGGATGAGTATCGCTGCGGAACTGAATTAGTAGCGACGCTATATCGGGTCTAGTTTGTGCCGTCTTCGTCACCGAGGCCCCGGGGTTACAGTTGGTATGACTTTTGAGTTGTATCGAAACGGTCCGGGTTCGATTCTCGGTAGTGGATGCGCACTGCTGATGAGTCCCAGATAGGACGCAACAGCCGTCCAGTGATTTCTGCATTCTGTTGAGGATTATTCTAGGCTCGACGAATTACTGTATGATTAGCCTAAATTCCCGAAATAATCACACACACACACACACACACACACACACACACACACATGTTGTGGTAGGATCCACCTAATTTGCATAGTGGAGTACCGACCATATAAATATGGTTGATACCGGAAAGAGGGAGGAATCAAGAGATTCAACCAGAGACTCTGCCTGACTGCGACTCAATCAACACATTCTCCAGGAACAGTCTTCCCAAGAATATACAAAAGACTATATGTAAATATTGTGTACACTTTCTTGTTTCAATACATTTTGTTCTAAGTACATTTTGTGTTCCATTATTATTCCATGCATTAGTCAATTTTCAACACACACACACACACACACACACACACACACACACACACACACACACATATATATATATATATATATATATATATATATATATTTGAAGCCGTATAGAGGAACCGGAGAGCCGTGTTCGAATTCCAGTCGAATCACTTACATTCACTTACGTGCTAATACTCTTGGGAAAGGTATGAATCCACTTCTTCTCCCCCCAGCTATGGGTAAATAGCAGGACAGACCGAGTTCTATAGCCTTGGATGGTAGTTGGTCTACCGCAGAAAGAAATGGCATCCTACTGTGGGAAAAAAAATCTGCCTCTTCAGTCATGTATCGAAAGATACATGATCGCTTAAGACTGTATCACGCATGGCTGGTATGTGCCGAGCAAAGGCTCCTTTTAAACAGTCTCTCCCTTGAAATATGGAAATGTGGACATTTCACATTCCTCCGACATTTTGTTTTATATCGCCTCGGGTAAGGTTTATTCAATTTGCATTTTTATTTAAATTTAATCACTGTATTGAAAATTGCCAAAAATCCATTGGCGAAAGACCAGCTGCCGGGATTCGAATATCGATGGGCTGCCTTCAATAATTTAATCATTGCTCCGTCTCGCTAGCATAGCTGACCGGTTAAATGCATGTCCATTCTTCTAAACATAGCTATGCCAATTATCTACCCCTTAAAGAATTTTGATTCTTCGAGTGGAAGTGTCTTGGAAGAAGGTTTGGTTCGACTCAAGCGATGTACTTGTCCAGCTAGCATCATTATTCTGGCCTCGTCCGCTACCGTTCTTCCCAGGTTAAATTCTTCGGAAATGGACATTTGTCTGACCCCCCCCCCCGCCATCACCCCTCCCTCGCTCTCTTTCTCCTCCTCCTCTTTCTCTCTCTCTCTTTCTCTCTCTCTTTCACACACACATACTCTCACTCTTTCTCTTATTGCGCCAATTGACGACATGAAAAATGGAATGAAAACCTCTTCTGCTCTAGTCACATCACTGCATTTACGATTTTCTTTCATTTATCCTTTTCTTTCATTTTCCTTTTTTTCTTTCATTTAACATCTCCTTTCGTTTATTGCATTTACGATTTTTATTCATTTGCCATTTTCTTTCGTTTTCCATTTTCTTTCATTTTCCATCTTGTTCAATTATCATTTTTTTTTTTACTTTCTATTTTCTATCATTCAACTTTTTCCTTCATTAACAATTTTCTTTCATTTTTCCTTTTCTTTTATTTAATATTTTATTTCAATTTGAAAATTTTCAGTCACAATTTTCTTTCACTTAACATTTTTTTCATTTACCGTTTTCTTTCTTTTTCCATTTTCATTCATTTATCTTTTTTATTTTCTATTTTCTATCATTTTTCCTTCATTAGCAATTTTTTTTCATTTTCTCTTTTCTTTTATTTAATATTTTATTTCATTTTGCAAATTTTCAGTCACAATTTTCTTTCACTTACCATTTTTTTAATTTACCGTTTTCTTTCTTTTTCCATTTTCATTCATTTATCTTTTTTTATTTTCTATTTTCTATCATTTTTCCTTCATTAGCAATTTTCTTTCATTTTCTCTTTTCTTTTATTTAATATTTTATTTCATTTTGCAAATTTTCAGTCACAATTTTCTTTCACTTAACATTTTTTTCATTTACCGTTTTCTTTCTTTTTCAATTTTCTTTCATTTATCTTTTTTATTTTCTATTTTCTATCATTTTTCCTTCATTAGCAATTTTCTTTCATTTTCCCTTTTCTTTTATTTAATATTTTATTTCATTTTGCAAATTTTCAGTCACAATTTTCTTTCACTTACCATTTTTTTTCATTTACCGCTTTCTTTCTTTTTCAATTTTCTTTCATTTATCTTTTTTTATTTTCTATTTTCTATCATCTTTCCTTCATTCGCAATTTTCTTTCATTTTCTCTTTTCTTTTATTTAATATTTTATTTCATTTTGCAAATTTTCATTCACAATTTTCTTTCACTTACCATTTTTTCATTTACCTTTTTCTTTCATTTTCAATTTTCTTTCATTTATCTTTTTTTATTTTCTATTTTTCTATCATTTTTCCTTCATTAGCAATTTCTTTTCATTTTCCTTTTCTTTTATTTAATATTTTATTTTATTTGCAAATTTTTTGAAAATTTTTTTTCATTTACCATTTTTTCATTTTTTCTTTCTTTTTCAATTTTCTTTCATTTATCTTTTTTTTTTTTTCATTTTTATCATCTTTTTTCATTTCAATTTTTTTCATTTTCTCTTTTCTTTTTTTTAATATTTTATTTCATTTTCAAATTTTCATTCACAATTTTTTTTTTTTTTTCATTTTTAATTTTCTTTTTCTTTTCAATTTTCCTTCATTTATCATTTTATTTTCTATTTTCTTCATTTTTCCTTCATTACCAATTTTCTTTCATTTTCCCTTTTCTTTTTATTTAATATTTTTTTCATTAAAATTTTCATTTAATTTTCTTTTTTCATTTTTCTTTCATTTGCCATTTTCATTTTCATTTTCTTTCATTTTAATTCAAGCTCTTTTTTTCATTTTTTAATCGTTTTTTTTTTGATTACCATTCTCTTTCCTTCGCCATTTTTCATTAAAAATTTTCACTTAATTTTCATTCTTTCATTTGCCATTTTCTTTCATTTTCTTTAATTCAAGATATTTCCATTTTAATTTTTTTTTTTTGATTTTGCATTAATTTTTATTTATCATTTTCTTTTATTTAACATTTTCTTTCCTTCGCCATTTTCTTTCATTCGCCATTTTCTTTCCTTCGCCATTTTCTTTCCTTCGCCATTTTCTTTCATTCGCTTACAGCTTTCTTTCATTTTCTATTCTCTTTCAATTGCCGTTTTCATTCACTTTCCTTTTTCTTTCATTTACAATATATTCATTTAATATTTTCTTTCATTTTACATTTTCTTTCATTGAAAATTTTCTTTCATTTAGACGGGGTTTTTATCTTCTATTTTCTTTCCTTTTCTTTCATTTTAAATTTTCGTTCATTTTTCTCTTCTGTATTTTTAGTTGATTTTTTTACTGTTTGTTTCTGTCACTCTTTTCTAACTCTCTTTAGTAATCTTTTATATTTCATCCGCATTATTGTATACCTTCTTTCGTTCTTTTCTTCCTATTGTCTTCTTTCTTTGTTCAGTCTTCATTCTACTCAATGCATTTGTCTTTTTTTTAAGTATTATTTCCTTCCTAATCCTTTTATTTCCTTCACCTTCTCCTCCTTTTTCTTTATATATTTACTTATTAATATTTGAAATGTCCATTTCATAACGATCTTCATCGTTTATTCTCACTCTTTAGTTTCACGTCGTTCCATTCTATTTTCACTTTCACTTTCACTTTCTGCTTTTCTTTAGTTTACGTCTACCTTCTTATCTGCTTACTTTCACTTTCTGTTTTCACTTCCTTTCTTTCTCTCTCCCCTTAATCACCAGGTCTATTTCTTCTAAGCGTTTCTCTTTCAGTTCTCCTCCAATTTTCTTCTTTTTCTTTTGCGTTGTTTTTTTTTTTTCTTCACTTTTCTTCCCCACTCCTTCATTTTGTAATTTCTCAAGGTGAACCGCACAACTTCTCTTAAGGACCCTTAACATCTGGTTTTGAAATCTCGTCACATAAAGTAAGACTTGACCTTTATTGGTTAACTACTCATCATCTTACTTCCAAATCTTCGCGCATATTACAGAAATCAGAAACACATCCCCCTTAAAAGCTTCCATACATAAATTATATTGTCGTAAATTAAAAAAAGTAAATATGACATTTCCTTTAAATGTCCAATTCTCCACAACCTTATGATGTCCAAGAAATCTCTCTCTCTCTCTCTCTCTCTCTCTCTCTCTCTCTCTCTCTCTCTCTCTCTCTCTCTTACGTGCTAATACTCTTGTGAAAGGTATGAATCCACTTCTTCTCCCCCCAGCTATGGGTAAATAGCAGGACAGACCGAGTTCTATAGCCTTGGATGTAGTTGGTCTACCGCAGAAAGAAATGGCATCCTACTGCGGGGAAAAAAATCTGCCTCTTCAGTCATGTATCGAAAGATACATGATCGCTTAAGACTGTATCTCTCTCTCTCTCTCTCTCTCTCTCTCTCTGTGTGTGTGTGTGTGTGTGTGTGTGTTTGTGTGTGTGTGTGTGTGATTCTGATTATAAGTGTCCTTTCCATCTATATTCTCCTTAAGACTAATCAAATCAAACCAAAACCATAAACGGCGATAATGTCACTAAAACCCAGAGAGAATAATAAAAATGAAATGAGGAGAAAAGGCAATAAATATTCAAGACGACAGAAGATAGCGATTGACATTGTATTTAAAATTTTAAAGATGTTAGCATTCAGGGCAGCAAGAAATCGGTAATTTCCGTTGATTTCCGTCGTATATACATTTCCTTCCAGGTCTCAACCAGAGATCTAAGGTTAGAAATGACATCATGGCATTTTCCACTCATTTTACATAGATAAAGCCTCGTTCTAAAGTCTGAGCTGTACCTGTGAAAACATTTTTTTTTATTTTTGTATTTCTTTAAAACGTGAGCTGCCAGGGATTCCTTCAATGAGTCTATCCGAAACAATCACAACTAGATCTATTGATGTTTCCATACTTTTAGATTTACAACTCAGGATCCTTGAAATTTGATAATTTATTGTAGTAGTAGTAGTAGTAGTAGTGGTAATAGTTATATTAGTAGTAGTAATAATAATAAAAGGCGAGAAGTACGAAAAAAATTATTAAAACTGTTGTGGACCCAGAATAGGTCCGAAAGAAAACTCGAACTCAGCAATTTAGCAAAAACATTATTAAACAAAAAGAACGAATACAAAAGGGTTGCACGCCCGACTGACGGCAAAGTAGAGTAGTCAACTCGTCAACGGTAGACAGCGATATTTAGTTACCCCCCCCACACACACACACACACGAGGGTTACATGTGGCACAAGGCCGGTTTAACATGGGATCTCCGAGCCTCTACATTCGGCCAAAAATAATCCCTCTTTGAACACGCATAAACGGGTCCAGGGTGCAGTCAACCTCCCCGAACGAGACTCTGACCTTCGGCGGGGCCTGGTCCGGGTACCTCTCCGCTCGAAGGCAGAGAGTTCGACAGTCTAGCTGGAACAGGTCAACTGTAGACAGCAATATTTAACAGTCCCCCCACAAGGAATGTATGTGGCACAAGGCCGAGTTTAACGTGGGTTTCTCCGAGCCCGTAGGCTCTGCCAAAAATATCCCCTTTGAACCTGCCTAGACGGGTTCAGGCCCTGTCTACCTCCCCGGACGAAACTTTGCTCTTCGGCAAAGCTTCGTCCGGGTTCCTCTCTGCCAAGGTAAAGAGTTCGACAGAAGTCGTACACAGAAGACGTACACAGTCAGAGACTGCGAGTCAGCTGTAGACAGCGATATTTAGTTACCCCCCACCTGTTACAAATTCATGACATTCGTTTTCGAGTATAGAATTCAGAGGTTGGCAGTGACTATTTCGCAGACAGTAGGAAAGCGTAGTCCAGGTTCGCAGTGGATATCGCAGCAAAGTAGCAGAGCGTAGTTCTTCCGTCTGTCCTGTTCGCCTAACAAGTTGGCACTGGTCATTCCGGTAGGTTAACAAAGATGGCCGCCTTTATACACGACGGATACAATGTTCTGCGGCTTCTGATTGGTCAATCTTCTATTGGTAGACTATAAAGGGAAATAAGTCATTTTGACTCGCTCACTAGTCATACATATATATCGCGTTTTGGTAGGTTCCCCTGGAGAGGATGTGGTATTATGGTGGTTGGAGGATTGTTTGGTGATGGACGAGTTCTTGTGGTGAATGAGTAAATTGTAATGTATGAATGGGTCGTGAATCTGATTAGCTAGGTATAGGATAGTTAGTTTGGACCAGCCTCTACCCCTCCTCTTCTTCGACCACGTGCCGCAATTGTAACTTATTACAATAAATAATCTAGTCATACATATATAACCAAAAAAAACTGTAACACCACCACCACCAACACTACGAGGGTTACATGTGGCACAAGGCCGGTTTAACGTGGGATCTCCGAGCCCGTAGGCTCGGCCAAAAATAATCCCTCTTTGAACCCGCATAAAAGGGTTCAGGGGCAGTCAACCTCCTCGAACGAGACTCTGCCCTTCGGCGCGGCCTCGTCCGGGTTCCTCTCCGTCGGAAGGCAGAGGGTTCGACTGTTTAGCTGGAACAGGTCAACTGTAGACAGCTCTCTTGAGAGGCATAATCTCCCCGTATATATAATAATAGGACGAGTCCATTTAGTCCATAAAGGTAAGTCCCATGACAAAGACAATGACTCATGTCTTAGTTCATAAATGAATGTAACGAACTCGACCTAAATTCGAACACCGATTTTTCATTCCGAGACGCTGTCCATTACACCACCGCACATCCACTTGTCCATATATAGAGAGATACGATCTTCTCCCACTCTACGGTTAAATAGCAAGCCATTCTAGCCTTTGAATATCTTATCAATATTCATCTTTTAAATACCCCTTGCATTCACTGTTCCGTTACCTATTTACCTCGTTTCCGTCTGCCCTTTCAATATATCCTGCGATTGTCACATTCTCCAAGCCTTCTTTCCTCACATCATGCGTACAAGATACTTCAACTGTCTCTTATAATAATTGCCATTTTTTTTTTCAACTGTCTCTTATAATAATTGCCCTTATTTTTTTCATTTTCCATAAGGCTTCCTCATTTCTCACATACCACGTCCATGACATTCTCAGCAACATAAAAGAACCCCACAGAATATTTATTTTAAAACTTCGATTCTGAGTTCGATTCTAAGCTTCTATTTGAGTTAGGCCTTTACCAACGAATTTCAAGGTTTTTTCAAGAGAAACAAAACATGTTTTCGTCGAATACAACTTTGTATAACACACATACATACACTCAAATATATATATATATATATATATATATATATATATATATATATATATATATAGTTAACGACTAAAGGGAGGTTTAGATATTTTGCTGAACAAATTAGTGAACGTTTTCTTTTTATCCAATATGGCTACGCTTATCAGTCCCAAAGCTCCTGAAAGTGCCCCAAAATGAAAACAGTGGTTATTTTTTTTTCTGTACGCTTTCGTGGCTTTGTCTCCGGCGGGCAAATATATTTCGATTACTTCTTAACCTTAATCAGAGAGCAGATGTCATTATCTTTGGAGAAAATAGCATTGGCAAAAATAAAACTAAAGGCAGCAATCTTCCTTTCCAATACGCCTTCTTCTTCTTCTTCTTCTTCTTCTTCTTCTTCTTCTTCTTCTTCGATTCTTATCTCTCTTGATCACACACACATCCCAACTCCCGCTCTCTCTCCCTTTCACCCACTCGCTTTATAACTCTTTTCTTCTTTTACACACATCTCTACCTCCCCTTACTTTCTCTGTTTTTGTATCTCTCATTATCTTTTACACGCATAATCTCCCTCGCCACACAAACATATATATATATATATATATATATATATCCTTTTTCGATTTCTACACATTATCTCGTTTCCTGATATCTATTCCTCGAATAACAACAAATATTTATACATTTATTGTCACTGTCAAAACAAGTCAATATATAAAATAGTTTTATCTCTGTGTGACTTCTCTGCATTATTAATTGTTATTTTCTTCTTGATTCGTTATTATCATTATCATTATTATTATTTTGTGTCCACAATTGGAGGATTTCGCATTTGAGCATTTGTACAACACTCCACATACTTCGCATTATTCTAGCTATTTTCGGTAATGATATTTTCTGATTATTATTATTATTATTATTATTATTGGTTTGGTTTGGTTTATTTTGTTTTACGGTATATCAACCTCAATTTGTTATTTAATGCCGACAACATTTTTAGCATAGATTCGTATGAATAGAATATGTATTCTTTGGTTTAGATTGGTTTGGTTTATTTTGTTTTACGGTATATCAACCTCAATGGGTTATTTAATGCCGACAACATTTTTTAGGATAGATTCGTATGAATAGAATATGTATTCTCTGGTTTAGATTGGTTTGGTTTATTTTGTTTTTACGGTATATCAACCTCAATGGGTTATTTAATGCCGACAACATTTTAGGATAGATTCGTATGAATAGAATATGTATTCTTTGGTTTAGATTGGTTTAGTTTATTTTGTTTTACGGTATATCAACCTCAATGGGTTATTTAATGCCGACAACATTTTTAGAATAGATTCGTATGAATAGAATATGTATTGTCTGGTTTA